TTGATATTGTCACTAATAACCCACACTAGCAAATATTTGCAATTTTACCAGCTGCGGTAATTAAACATAACTCACCCTTCCATGTATGTATTTGATATTGATATTGTCACTAATAACCCACACTAGCAAATATTTGCAATTTTACCAGCTGCGGTAATTAAACATAAATTATTACTCACCCTTCCTTGTATGTATTTGATATTGATATTGTCACTAATAACCCACACTAGCAAATATTTGCAATTTTACCAGCTGCGGTAATTAAACATAAATTATTACTCACCCTTCCTTGTATGTATTTGATATTGATTTTAAATATTTATTATACAGATCAGAATTTAGTTGGGAAAAGTAAATGAAAAGTTATTCATTAAAATTTCATTGCATGATTCATCAGAGCTTGGTACCAGGACTTATTTTAATGCTGATACTCATTACTGGGACTTGTTTGATCTGCTTTTCATCCAACCTGCATGCATTTCATCGTACTGTCAGAAAACAGACATGTCAAGTCTTGCAGAATCTAAACAATCCATAAATGTTCATCATATGAGCCATTAAATAACCTAAAAACTTTAGTTCTTATTAACAATAAGGTTGTGAAAAGTTATTTAGCAACTTCAATGTTGTTGTATGATTGGTCAATAATAATAATTATATACAAATGACGTTTTATTGGCTGATGTGCTGTGATCAGCCCCACCCCTGGTATTAGTGCATATATCTTTTGTCATTCAACAGAATGAGAAGCAAAAAACAAGATGTATCTAATGTAAGTTTACAGTTGTGCAATTTTTAATTTAATCGCTTGTTTGATATATATTTGTTTGTTTAAAACCATCAAACAATGATTGTATGTATTTTCCTATTATAAATTATACATATGAGCAATATGTATAATTAAGATTATGCACATATGAGTACTGGCACTTTGTGGTTGAAAATGTCACTCCTTCACATAACACAGGGTATTGTATTGATGTGTTGACAAGGCTTCTTGAACAAAATTCACCCAACAGCAATGTGTTAGTAAGCATCAGGTCTGGATCATGTATATTAAGTTCTCTTGCTGGCTACCAGATGTCTTAAAAAATCTTCTGCAAGATTGGTTCAGCAAACACTATTTTTAATCTACACTTAGTGCTTAATATGTCTTTAAAGAAAAAACGTTTATCTGTTGTCATCTCTTCTATATGTAGCTAAAAATTATACTTGAAAGACCATTATTTTTATGTGAAATATTCTTTGTAATGTGAAGTTACACTTAAGAGGAAACACCCATTCCCTTAAAATATTTTTAGGGCTAGCTAGGCCGTAGTATTTGATGTACTTAGGTACCATTTTGTTCCTTTTTTGTATGTTGTTATACATTAATTTTAATTTATTAATATATAATTTCAACAAGGTGTCATTTCTTCATAAAATGTTTTCTATTTTAGTATTATCATTGATCAGTTTCTGTAAGTTGTTAGATGGATTAAACCTATTTCTAGGGCTAGAAAATGTTTTTAAGATGACATCTTAGAAGGTCAGCAGTCTTTAAATTGCTTACTGGATTCCAATTTTAGTGTGAAATATAGAAACTTTACTCTGTGTACAAATTTGTAGATAAATATTTTTTTAAAACCTCTATTTCAGCAACATGCCCACGAGTTCAACACTAACGTGGCTCTTTATGAACTTTATACATATGCCATCAAGTACAATGAGCAGGTAAGTAAGAAAAAAACAACAGTAGTTTCCTTTTATCTATTTACCAGTCAGTGCAGAAATCCTGAATAAATAAATCATAATTTATTTTAACTGAAAGGATAATTCATTTTTATTAACAAACAGCTGTTAGTTTCAACTAACTATTTTAAAACCTCGTTGCATGTGTTTTTAAAATTTAAACAAATGGAATATTTTAAACTTTACAGTGAAGTTTCACTAAGTACCAGAAATTTTAAGCAACCTACATAGATTTAAATACTTTGCTCCACAAAGACAAAACAAACAGACTGATAATGGTTTTAAAGTCGTAGATGTTCAGGGTATCTTAGTTACAAACTGTGCCTATTTATATGTAAAAACAGGGTTATCTTGTAATCAAGTTTAGCTAACTAATAATGTAGTATATGTGTTGTGTATGTAATGCCTTGTGATGTATGTAACTCAGTGAGGTGAAGCACGTTTAAGATTAGGGACCCACATAAAAGAAAATGTATAATATAGAAATTGTGTGTAACATGCAAGTTATGTTACCTACATCACAAATATACTTTGTAGATAATCAGAATAGTTATTGTTTGGAAAAGAAACTTCTGGTATATAACGTACATGGTTGTTTAGTAGATTTTTGTTTGTTTTTATAAATCCTATGGAATAATGAAGTTAATTTAGAGGCTAGTCTTCCTTATAGCAGAAACACTGAACATTGTTTTCTTCTTCAGCTTATGATAACATTAGAAGAAGATGAGTTTTCCAAGAAGAATCGTTTGGCGTGGAAATTGGAACAAGTGCACATAATCATGAATGGTGAGGCTGATGCCTGACTGGTATGTTGGCAAACTGTTGATGCATGACAGCTTGTCATCTCAGGTTTCTAGGTTATAAGATGGAGATGCAAACAGTGGTTTTGTGTTCAATGTTTGTACCAAGGCTCAGAGCTGCTCACAGTGGCTGGACCTATGCAATGAACCACAGTGTGGTACACATTTTAGCAATAGTGAACTTTGGTGTGTGTCTACTTTACAGGAGCCAGTGTTACAGTATGAAGAATAATATCTATAACAAATCTCTTGTAAATTGTTCCAGTATGAATATTATTAATTAGTCTGTGCGGGATCCCACTTGTTAAAATGATAAGCATCATTTCTAGAAGGCATGTCTACGCAGTGATCGATGTGCAGGAGCAATTTGCAAATTTGATAATACATTGGTTTATAGGAACTTTGATAAAATAATGTTTGTAGAAAAAAGCTGTCATCATAGTATTGAATGTATAACAGTCTGATTGGTGTTAGAATTGTAAACTGTTTTTAGAAGAGTTGTCATCCTAGTAATGATTACACCCACAGTTTGTATGGATATCTTAATGTTTTTGAAGTGAAAGGTGTAATGAGAAGATACATGTCATCTCATTGACGGATATGATATATATATGTGTGTGTGTGTGTGTGTGTGTGTGAGGAGCTTGGGATTATGCTTATAAACAGTGTCTGTGGAAGATGGACATTCAGCAGTATGAATAGAAAGCTTGGTTCTAGAAGAACTCCATCCTTAATCACGGTGGTAACCGACCAACAGTGTGCTCATCTAGAAACAAGTCAACAAACTGTTGTTCACCTTTCAGATTTGCAAACGTTCCATTGTCTGACTGAGAAACTGTTCAGGTTTTTTCTCTTGCTTAATTTCGGTGGACCATTACCTGGGTGACAACTATCATTTTCCTGGATATTTAGCGCTGGACAAAAAGCAACAACAGAGGACGAAAATCAAGAGTGAAGAGTTAACATTCCCTGTTCATAACGTTTAATAACATGAGTATTTATCTGACAATAGAAACTGGGATTCCGTGATAAATGAATCTTTTCATCAGTGTACTGAAAGGAACTTATTGATATTAATCTTACATTATTGTTATCTCTACTATGATTAGTTCAGGTTTTTAGAAAGCATCAGGAAAGTGTAGATGTTTTTTTCCACTGTTAACAGTTCTAGAAACTTGTGTACTATTAGTACACGCTTCTAATCTTCCATACAGGTCCATCAAAAACTACTAATGGCAACTGGCTTTGTTTTTCAACCATTGCAGATTCCTTTGTCCTTATCAGGTCATCGTCGTATCAGAATTAACAAGAAGGAATCCTCAATAGCCATGGCTGTAATTAGATCTCAAATTGGTCAAGAGATGGAACTATAAGCTAAAAGTTTGTACTTGAAAAATAAAGTGGAGCCATTCTGTAAGCTGATATGCTGTGGATAAAAAAATGATAATCTGTTACATGTGAACGATTAAGAATATTTCATCCCAGGCATGGGGACAAAACTTCATACTTTGACTAGCATTTCAGTGGGGGTAAACTCTGGTAGCAAAACTGCTGCCATTAACAGTCACTTTTAACAAAAGTGTAAATAGAATAGGCAATTCTTTTTCTTTATATAAAAGGCATCAATATCTGTATTGGATGAAATTGGGTTTCTTACTTTCTTTACTGGTTTGTAGTAATGGCAAAAGTTTGAATTATGATTTTTTTTCTCAGTCAGTCAGCATTGGTTCTTTTATTAGAATTCAAACAACCATACTTATGAGCTACTATGGCTTGTTGTGAAAAACTCATTGAATGCTGGATGTTATACTTTATGGAATTTGTTGGTGAATTCAGTAATCATACTTAAATTCTTTTGCAATTTAAATGTTGAGAATGGATTTGAGGTTATGGTGCATAACTGAATGTAAAGAATGGGGCAGTAACTATCTATTGTAGATTGTTGTGCAGCTGAATGTATATTGTTTCTGTAGCAGTCCACATTGGATTTCTATTGCATTTTGATTTATAAAAATAGAGATATCTATAGTAGCTCATCCTGGATTGCTATGGCAGCTGGATGCAAGAAAACAATCATTTTTAGCAGTTCATGATAGCCTGGCATCTGGATGTATTAAATATATGCAGTTGCAGAAAATGAATGTGAAAAATAATTTTTGGCAGTCTATTATGAAGTACTGTAGGATCTCAGTCTCAAAATATTTTATAGCAGTTTTTGATAGCCTGGTAGCAGATGAATGTAAAATTTCATTCTTTAGCAGTCCACCATGAATTGTTGGGTGTAAAGAAATTATAGCAGCCCATCATTGTCTGATTCTGTAGCTATCCACTGTACTGTTGTGGCACTTTGATGTGAAGATGGTGTCTGTAACTGTTCACCATAGGCTGTTGTTGAAGCTGGGTTTAAAGAATTTGATTATATGTATCCATCGTGAACTGCTTCGGTATGAACTGTTATGGCAACTTGATTAAAAGCTTATTTTTATAGTAGTCCATCATGGCCTGTTACAGCAGCTGGGTGAGAAAGATTATAGTTCAATATCATGGTTGATTTGTAGCAGCTGAACATAAGTAATTATAACTATAACATGGGCTGTTACAGCAGCTGGGTGAGAAAGATTATAGTCCTATGTCATCACTGATTGTAGCAGCTGAACATAAGTAATTATAACTATAACATGGGCTGTTACAGCAGCTGGGTGAGAAAGATTATAGTCCTATGTCATCGCTGATTGTAGCAGCTGAACATAAGTGAATATAGCTATATCATTTATAATCTTTCCCACCCAGCTACTGTAACATGCCGTCATGTAATGGTTGATTGTAGCAGCTGAACATGAGAGAGACTAACAATCTGTTATGATTCATTGAGGCAACTGAATGTAGATGATTATAGCAGTCTATCATGGTTGATTATGACAATTAACTATAAGTGATTATATCAGTATGTCATGGTTGATTGAGGCAACTGAATACATGATTTTATTCTATAGTAGTCCATCGTGGACTATGGCAGCAGGTTAACAAGAAATACTGCATGAAAATTTAATAAACTTATGGATTACTATTATTGTTTCTGAATATAAATAATGTTGATAACAGTTCCTTGATAGTCCCTCGTGGTTTTGTTATAGTGCTAGGATATAAGCATTTCCATACGTGTGTGTATGTATGTATGAACCAGCATGGATTGTTATGGAATATAAAAGATGCATGGCTCGTGAAGAACAACATTAAAGCATATTAGTGTGTAATTTCAAGTTTGTAATGCAAGTGTTGTGTGTGACTAATGTCCTGAGGATCCATCAAGTTCTTGTAAGCATACTCAAACACTGAAACCCTGTGTGTTCATCATTGTTTTGTGTGTCATTTGTTGGAGTGCCTTTGTTGTGTGTACACCCGCATTAGCTATGACCTCTCAAATATTTGTACTAGACATATCCATTTACACTCACTAAGATGTCATTTGCATTAACCTCTGTTGCTTTTGTGAATAATGACAGCTTCCATGCTACATACTTTCAGTTTTTGTAACAACATCAGCTACCATACAACTTACATAACACAGTTTATGTGATACCTTAGCTACATAATTTCAGTTTCTGTAATGTCAGCTACATGTATAGCGTATATAACATCAGCTACCATACAACTTACATAACACAGTTTTTGATACCTTAGCTACATAATTTCAGTTTCTGTAACATCAGCCACACATACAGCATATATAACATCAGCTACCATGCAACTTATATAACAGTATCTGATACCTTAGCTACATAATTTCAGTTTCTGTAATGTCAGCTACATGTATAGCGTATAACATCAGATAACACAGTTTATGTGATACCTCAGCTACATAATTTCAGTTTCTGTAACATCAGCTACCATACAACTTACACAACAGTTTGTGTTACCTTAGCTACATAATTTCAGTTTCTGTAACGTCAGCTACATGTACAGCATATATAACATCAGCTACCATGCAACTTATATAACAGTATCTGATACCTTAGCTACATAATTTCAGTTTCTGTAACATCAGCTACCATACAACTTGCATAACAGTTTGTGTTACCTTAGCTACATAATTTCAGTTTCTGTAACGTCAGCTACATGTACAGCATATATAACATCAGCTACCATGCAACTTGTATAACAGTATCTGATACCTTAGCTACATAATTTCAGTTTCTGTAACGTCAGCTACATGTATAGCGTATATAACATCAGCTACCATACAACTTGCATAACACAGTTTATGTGATACCTTAGC